GGGCCTTTCGTTGTTGGACACTTTCCACCCATGAAGGCACATGACAGGCACATGGCATGGCTCTTGCAGAATCAGTCCACTAGCACTGGGGCCAGGCCTGGTCAGGAGTCCCAGGGGAGCAATAGAGGCTGGTACACTGGAACACACCAGAAGGGGAGGGGGTGGTGTCCGACAGGAGTTCAGGGCATACTCAACCCAGTGGCGAGCCCAGTGTGCTTGTCTATCTGTATAGGTCATAGATCCATCCATTCATTTCCTGAAACCACTTAATCCCAACCGGGGTCACAGGGGGGAACCAACCCTGGGCACTCGCCAACACACTGCAGGGCGCAAACACTCACATGGGCAATTTAGACCAATCAACCTATCCTGCACACTTTTGGACCGTGGGAGAAAATCAGAGCCCACGGCGAAGACCTAAGAAAACACAGGGAGAGCATGCGAACTGTACACAGAGAGGACCCTAGACCTTCTTGCTGTGAGGCAGAAACGCTAATCACTGTGCCACTGTGCCACACTCAGTAACCATACCATGGATTTTTTTAAAACTGCACAGGCATTTTAGGGGGGACAGAATGGAATTGAATAATTGATTTGATTGCCCCAAAACTGAAGCAGTATTGCTTCAGAATGTTATGTGTGGTATGCATTGCAAATGTTTAGTGCTATCTGTCACGGTGTTGGTTTGGGGATGCTGGCTGGAGGAGAACCTCAGGGAGATGTTAAGCCAAGAAGGCATGGAAGACATTTGCCGAGAACTGAGACCCTCTGATCCATAGATCCAGAAGACCCATGTCTGGAGGAGATTGGTGAAATCTGTAGTGGAAGGGAGTTTAGGCAGAAGGATTAGTTGGCACATTTTAGAGAAATAATCCACAATGGTTAGGATAATGGAGTTGCCCAGTTATTGATGGCATATCAGTAATAAAATCAAGTGTGGTGTGAGACCAGGGGCATTGTGGGGTTGGAAGCGATTGGAGACCCACTGGTGTCTGACTTGCTGACTGCTGGGCACACACTGGATATGAAAGTATGTACTCCTCCACCTCCTCCCACCAACCGGGCCATTAGTAGCACAGGGCTAGCAGGCGTGCAGTAAGGGCCACACCAGGATGGCCGGAGGTGTCACGATCCAACACGGAAGCAGGCGACGGAAGCCGTGAATACGAACAAAAAGGGCTTTATTGCTGGGGTAACACACTCCAAGACGCACGTAACGTCAATGACCGGACTGGGGAAACGAATGGAAACGCAGACTAAATACACTGGACTAATGACAACAATCAGAAACAGCTGTTAAACACTGGGAATCCACATGAGGTTAATGAGGGGGGCGTGGCACAGGAGGATCGGCACGATCAGGGTGTGACCGGAGGTGAGAGAGGTATGGACCCACCAGTTGATGTCAACGTGAAGCACAGATGGCACATAGATCTTGCCTACCAGGAAGTGGGCTGGAGGCTTGTCACACTGAGCCTCCCAGATCGTGTCATCTAGGTCCCAAGTTACAGGAAGCAGGAAACAGGAAGGGGGCAGAATCGGAACCAGTTCTTCTCATTCGTCCAGTGTGGAGAATTTGTGGGACAGTGTGTTTGTTTTACGTTCTTTACCCCAGGAACGTAGGTCACCTTGAAGTCAAAACAAGTACAAATGAGGACCCACCTGGCTTGTCGGGTATTTACTCGCTTCGGTATTCGACTTCAGGTATTGTAGGTTGCAGTGGTTCGTCCACAACCCATAGGGATGTATGGCATCCTCCAGCCAATGCCTCCGCTCCTCAAGGGCTAGCTTGATGGTGAACAACTCTCTATTCCCAATGTCATAGTTGCATTCAGCAGGACTCAATTTTTTTAGAGAAATAGCCACATGTGTGCAATGTCCCACTCCCCTCCTGGCACTGGGAAAGAACGGCCCCAACCCCTATCTCGGATGTTTCAACCTCAATGGCAAACGGCAGGTTTGGGTTGGGTTGCTTTAGGGTGGCAGCTGAACAAAAAAGATCCTTCAGATGCCGGAAAGCCATTTTGTCATGATCCGCTCCGTCCGCTCCTGATGTGTGCCACGCCCACCTCGTTACCTCGTGTTCAGCCCTGATTGTGATCACCTGAGTCCTGTTATGTCTAGCTTGTCTTTTGTATTTAGTCCTCGTCTGAGTCAGTCTTCCCCAGATCCGTCATTGAATGTCATGTGGTTGTTGCCTGTTGTGCTTCCCCGGTCCTGTTACCCGAATAAATCCCGTTATTTCGACTTCCTGGTTTGCTTGCCTGCTTCACCGCTCACCTGCTTCCCGCGACGTGACACATTTCTGCGGCCGGGTTCCAGACCAACTTAATCTGGCCCCCATACAGCAGTGAGGTGAGAGGGAAAGCGACCATACTGAAAGCCATCTATCATCCCCTGATAAACCATTTATAGAAGCTAGTGAAACCCAGGAAATGCTGGTGCTCCTCCTCACGGTGTACAGTTGGGGCCAGTCCTGAATGGCCTTTACTTTCATGTTGCCCATCCCCACCTTCCCTGGCTGTATCAGGTAACCCAGGAACTTTAGCAAGGTCCGGTGAAATTTACATTTTTCACCATTCACAAATAAGTGGTTGTCACGAACCCAACGGACGTGACAGGCATGCTCTTGGAGAGAGGAGGAATAAATGCATGTGTCATCAATATACACTATAACAATTCAATTTAGCATATCTACCAGGACCTGGCTCATGAATCCCTGGAATATGGAGGGACTGATGGCTAAACTATAGGGCATAATGAGATACTCATATTGTCCTGAGGACGTGATAAAGGTGCTCTTCCACTCATCACCTGCTCGGATCCAGACGAGATCGAAGGCACTGCATAGATCCAAAAGTCAAGCACTGTGTAGCTGTTCCAGTGCTGATGGGATCAGAGGGAGGGGCTCCTGATGCTTGCAGGCGGTGGCATTTGGCTCATCGTAGTCAATGCATGGCTAGATACCTCCGTCTTTCTTTTTCACAAAAAATATACCAGATGAGATCAGGGTGGTTGACAGACAGATAATACATTGTGCCAGGGACTCCTGGATGTGGGACATAGGACTTCATCTTCTGGACCAAGAACGAAGCTCCCCTGTGGCCCAGTCTACCTGGGGATTGTGAAGTCATAGCTATGGGTGTCCTAAGATTACCCTCTTTGACTGTCAGGATGCGTTTCTCCAGATGGGTCACTCCCACTTGCATCTGTAACTGGATGGTTCCAGGTAAATTCTTTTTTTGCCTGCCCCAACTTGCTCTGTGCAGGTGAGAGCAAGTTGGCCATGAAAGGCAGCCACCCATAGCAGCACCCACAGAGCTGGATGTTAAGGGCCTTGCTCAAGAACCTGCAGATGTGCCAAGGCCAGGCTCAAACCAGCAATCATGTGATCACAAGCACAGAGGCTTAACCCACTGAGCCATACACTGTCCCCAAAAGAAGAAAAAACAAACAAAAAGGATGTTTAAAAGACCTATAGGGGAAGTGAAACAAAACAGGGATTAACCGGGCAGCAACATTAATGACACATATGGGGAACTCAAGGCCTAGGAAGCACTTGAATTCAAATACAGACAAGGATCAAACACCTGGGAGTGATTAACACAAGGGCAGGAACAAGATGTAAGATGAACAAGCACCAGG